AAATAAGTAAAGTGCAATTAAGTGCGTGAGTGTGTATATGTATGTGTTTTCAATAAGTGCGTGTGATGTGAGTGTGAGATCACTCCGTCTGTGCACAGGCAGCGAGTCCACGTCCGGCCGCCTGCACGGGACTCTAGATTCCAGCACCGGAATCGTATATAATACAGCGATAAAATGAAATAAAATCCCAACCGGCGTGCGGGTGAGGCGGCAGTGTGAAGAGCAACGTTCCTTCTTGCCGTTGTGAACAAGACAGGAGTCGCATCACATCCTGCACGCGCTGACGTATGCTGGACGACGCACTTTGGTGTCGCTCTTTCAAGTGTCCTTATGGAGTAATACACAGCAAGAAAAACACTACTGGCGCATTCACCCGATTACACAATCACATTCCCAGTAAGTACTTCATGTCGTTTCCTATGTTCTACATATTGCGGTTTGTACAATCCCTGGCGGACGTCACAAGGTGCTGACTGTACACACATCGTTAAATAAATAAAATAAGTTAAATAATACATGCCGACGAGGCAGTGGTTTGTACATCCCACAAAATGCCCAACTTTGCAGAATCTTATAAGATATGCAACAAACCTCTAGCAAAAGTTTCTTGCATACGTACAAGTTCTTTGTTTCTCCAGGCCAAACTCTCCCCTCAATTCCTTTTACAATCTCATGAGTTATGGAAAATACTGATATTACAAAAGTTTCCCTGAAAAAAGAAAGTTTCAGTATAATAAATAAATTGTCAACTATGAGCAAGTTCCCGCCACTGGAGTGGATCATAAATGAACTCCCAGAAAAGGTTTCGGAATCCACCACGTCTTTTGTTCAGAGATTCTGTCTTCTCCTCAGATCGCTATTCCTCGACGCCGCGTCTCTCCCCCTTCTCTCGCTCTGCCATCCTACGGTCTTCCTCGTTCTTCCGCAGCAGCTAACCTCCGGCTACCTCCCCCCGCCCTTAGTACCGCTGTGGCACCTGCGGCACTTGGTGCTTCTTGTGAGTGCCACTCATGTGAGCCCGCAGGGAATTGAGGGAGGCGTACATGCGGCGGCACACGGGGCACTGCATGCTCTGGCGCGGGCCATGCATGTCCCGGAGGTGTGTCTTAAGGACGTACTTGTTGCACAGGACCTTCCCGCACACGCCGCAAGCCACCTCCTCCCCCGTGGCGAGCCGGGTCCTGCCTGCGGGCGGCGTGTAGCCGAGTGCCGTGAGCGGGGTGGTCGCAGCGCCCCCCGCGCCGGGGTCGGAGGCGTAACCGAGGTGGGGGGAACCTCCGAGGGATTCCATTCCTGTAGTGTGATGGGCGCCGTAGCCACAATGCACAGAGACGGGCTGAGGTTGCTGATGTTGGAGAGCGGCCGTGACAGTAGGCGGCTGTGTGGGCGTGATGAGCTCACACACGGGCGGCACAACTTCAAACTCCGGGGAGACACCTGGCGCCTGCAGGAGCGTTCCGCCTCCGCCTGAAACAGCCGACCAGGGGGTGAGACACGCCTTGAGGGGAGGGGCCGCCCTCACACCACTCGTGCAGGGCGGGGCTCTCGTCCTCCCACTCCATCCCTCTTACTCCCAATAACACCAATCTACGGGCAGGACCTTCTCATGGGCTTATCTCTACCGACTGCCTTCCACTTACACCTATTTAGCACCCTCCCGCCCTCTAGCACCTTCATCCCCTCGCAACCCCCAAACAAAATATGGAAATAACATTACTATTGCAAATTAAATACGATTGCCAAATCACAGCAATCACACCTGGACTCATCTTGTAAACGGTATCCGACAATTCCTTTTTGAAGACTTCGTCATTGCGTGTTATAAAAATACGTCTTCCTCCGTTTAAAAGATAAAATTGGTGTGATTAAAAAAAGATTACTTATAACTACAAGCCGAAGATACAGCAGTACGGGGCTATAAGATCTATACAAAAGACTCTTACATATAAATGATACTTTCCCTTTCGTTCTTGCTTAAAAGTAAAGTAAACTGCGGGAAAAAGAAGTAAAACAAAACACTGATTTACTTCGTAAGACGCCAACACAATGTCTTTTTTGGAGCCAAAAAAGTTTAACTTACAAGTATACAAAGTCCATACAACCTTTATATTTAATACTTAAAAACCTCTCACGACTAGGAACAGATCGAGCCAAAAGGCCTAAAACGAGTTTATACAAGAGTATCGTTCTCCAGCGCATCGGCAAGGAGCGCGCGATCCCGGCCGCGATCCGCCAGACTCCTCGGCGCCCTCGGATCCCAGCGGAGGGGGAACCGGGTCCTCGGAAGAGCGGAGCCACGAGGACCCCGGTTAAGTCCTCAGGGTCTTTCTGAAGAGCGCAGCGATGGCCGCGGCGTCGGAGGGGTCTGCGTCCACCTCGAAGACCGGGGGCGGCTGGTGCAACAGGTCCTCCCGCATGGGCTGCGGCGGCAGGTACTCGTCCGGCTGGAACTTTATCATTTGCTGCGGGTGCGGCAGTGGGATCGGAGCTTGCAGTTGCGCGGGTAGCTGCTGCTGGTGTTGCGGGGAGAGCTGCGGCTGCGGCTGGGACGTGGGCAGCGACTGCTGCGGCAGGCCCAGGTGGAGGGGGCCGATAGAGCTGCGCCTTCGCACGACGCCTGTCGGATGGGAGTTGCTGCGGTGCACCTGCAGACTGTTGAGCGAGCTATACTGCCGGTTGCAGAGGTCACATACAAACTTGGCGCCGCGGTTCAAGTGCATGTCTCGCTCGTGCTTCTTAAGGTTGTAGCGATTGCTGCACATCTTGCCGCAAAACCTGCACACATTGGCCTCCTCGCCTTCACCTGCAACACGAAGAAAACAGCTGGGGTGAGGGAGGGCCAGAGCAGCCACCAGTGTGTCACCGGTAGTGTGCGTGCGTGCGTGCGTGCGTGCTTGCGTGGGAGGGTCGAGAGAAACCACAACCACGACACTGGTAAACAAACAAGATATGACAGCATGTTTCGTATCTCAGACAGAGGAGCAGACGCCGTTACTGCTGCCATGCCACCTGCTTGGCCAGGTTACTGTCACGTCACATAAAAAACACAAACACGTTACAAGGAGAATATTTTAGTCTCTTGAAAAACTATTCACTTCCATGCATGCGCAAACAAGGACACGCGTAGCGCCCCCTTACTTACGCCTGTGTCCAAAAACAGAAAACAATGCGGGGGGGAAAAGCATCACCTTTTTATGCAGGTGACAAGATCCAGGAAATAAGCAGAGAAATAAACGGTGGAATGACACAAGACAAAAAACACTTCCGGTCAGGAGGTATGAAGGTCGGATGCCAGGACAGACTGCAATGAATAACAGATCGGTGCCGTCCCCATCAGGTGCGAGGGATCATGGGGCGAACCACACGAGACCCGGCAATGGCTAAAACAGTGTAAGATATTCTAGTCATCCCTCTTACTAAATAAGTGTGTATGTCACATACAATTGCGTGTGCGTGCATGGGTTTTTGTATAATGCACGTATATTTGGGTGTACATGTAAATGAGTTCTTAGTACTATATACTATCGTATTAAACCACTGTGACAGCGACAGAGAGTGGGAGTGTGCGGAGGAGGGGGGAGAGAGGGAAGGAGGGGGAGAAGGGAAGGAGAGGGAGAGGAGAGGAGAGGAGAGGAGAGAGAGGAGAGGAGAGGAGAGAGAGGAGAGAGAGGAGAGGAGAGGAGAGAGAGGGAGGGAGAGGAGGGAGGAGAGGAAGGAGAGAGAGGAGAGAGAGAGAGAGAGGAGAGGAAGGAGAGGAGAGAGGAGAGAAAGAGAGGAGAGAAGAGAAGAGAAGAGAAGAGAAGAGAGAAGAGGAGAGGAGAGAGGAGAGGAGAGGGAGAGGAGAGAGAGAGAGAGGAGAAGAGGAGAGGAGAGGAGAGGAGAGAGGAGAGGAAGAGGAGAGGAGAGGAGAGAAGAGAGAGAAGAGAGAGAGAGAGAGAGAGAAGAGAGAGAGAGAGAAGAAGAGAGAGGAGAGGAGGAGAGAGAGAGAGAGAGAGAGAGAGAGAGAGGAGAGAGGGAAGAGAGGGGAGGAGAGAGGAGAGAGAGGAAGAGGGGAGAGGAGGGAGAGAGAGGGAGAGGAGAGAGAGAGAGAGAGGGAGAGAGAGAGGAGAGAGAGAGAGAGAGAGAGAGAGAAGAAGAGAGAGAGAGAGAGAGAGAAGAGAGAGAGAGAGAGAGAGAGAGAGAGAGAGAGGAGAGAGAGAGAGAGAGGAGAGGGAGAGGGAGAGGGAGAGGGAGAGAGAGGGGAGGGAGAGGAGAGGGAGAGGAGAGGAGAGGGAGAGGGAGAGGGAGAGAGAGAGGAGAGAAGAGAGAGAGAGAGAGAGGAGAGAGAGAGAGAGAGAGAGAGAGAGAGAGAGAGAGAGAGAGAGGGAGAGAGAGAGAGAGAGAGAGAGAGGGAGGAGGGAGGGAGAGGAGGGGGAGAGAGGAGAGAGAGAGAGAGAGAGAGAGAGAGAGAGAGAGAGAGAGAGAGAGAGAGAGAGAGAGAGAGAGAGAGAGAGAGAGAGAGAGAGAGAGAGAGAGAGAGTGTGTGAGTGATTGAGAGTGAGTGTGTATGTGCGTGCATATAACACGTGCGTGTGTCGATAATCAACAGATACATACATAAAGATGGTTGTTTAAAACTAATTTTGCAGTTACATTGAGGAAATATTGTACCTACTAGTCTCTTAGTGGTAATCGCATGTGTCCATATAAAGAAAGACAGTATGCACGTATTTATGTATGTACATAAATGTATTTATGAGTGTATGTACACATGTAACTGTATATACATGTGTGAATAAGCGTGTACACATGTTTCTGTAGTTTATCGTTGTAGTCGGGGTTCTGTGCTTATCATATAATTCTAAATTAATAAGCAGAATGACTAATAATCAGATATTTTCCGAATGTGTTCAATTCTCTCTTATCATGAACATATGTGTCTGATTACTTATCTTCATTAATTTTCCATTTGATAACTCATCTTGTTTGTACACGGGGGAATGATAATAATAAACTTTAAAATTCATACACGATTTTTAATACAAAAATCTGGTACATATCACGAAAATTTACGCTTAGACCTTAGGTATACGCCACACAACGTAGAAGCCTGTGTAATCTAAATTCACAAATCTATGAAGCCGAACAGAAAGGACTCATTACATGTTATATTAAAATACAAAGTGAGCGTTTACAGTACAAAAACCGTGACCTTTGCGCCTTCCGCCAGGTCAAGTGACGGAAGAGTGAGAGAAAAAAAAAACAATCTAGACAACACGTTACAAAATACTGTCACGTCGCAGGTGTCACCAGTGCACTACCCCGCGCCCTACCTCCTACCCTCCCCCCTCCCCGGACCCGCCCTGCCGCCGCGGTGCCTCAGGGGCCCTGGTCGCCGGCGTGAGTGTTGTGTGGCTGCAGCAGCGGCTGCGGCCGCGCCTCTCGGAACGCCGGCGAGGTGAGACGGGGGCTCGGCTCCTCCAGGAGCACGTGGTGGCCCTGCGTCGCGCCCACGTGAGGCAGGGGTGTCGCGTAGGTGTTCAGCACGTCGTCGTCGCACACGAGCCCGCCCTCGCCGCCCATAACCCCACCCGCGCCAACGTCCAAGCCATCGTCCATGGCCACGCTCATGCCCCTGCCGCCACCATCACTTATGCCCGAGAGCACGTGGCCAGCCGGGGCGCTGCTCGTCACAGGTCGCTGATACGACTCGATGTAGTGCTGCTGCCTGAGGGCGGGAGCAGGGGTGGCGGTAGGCGTGTGGCCGATGGAGGGGGAGAGCGTAGGACCGGGCGCGCTTGCGGGCGCGGAGGTGGGCGCCACGCCGCCCAGAGAGTTGTGGTATAGGGCCCTGAGGCGCCGCCGCGTGCTGACCAGGCCGTGCTGCTTGATGGCGTGCACCCGCAGGCTGTTGGCGTTCTTGAAGGTCCTGCGGCAGGTGGCGCAGGTGGGGCGGGATCCCTCGTGTGTCTCGTGCTTGTCCCGCACGTGGATCCGCAGGTTGTACTTGTTGCTGAGCCGCTTCCCGCACACCGGGCACGACACCGACCCTCCCCCGCCCACCACCCACGCCCGCGCCCCTGCAACAAAGACAACACGCCGTAAGCGGCCACCATCATGATCCCTGGCTCCCTGGACACCCACTACGGCAAGGACATTACACACGGGCAGGACACACGCCAGGGCTAACTACTTAGACTACTCTTCAAATCTTCTCAAAATAGATACACAAATAAAGTGATAAAAACCAACTTGGGTTCTCGTCAATCACATTTTGACGTCTAAAACAAGTCATTAAGTACTACAGCTACGGGTCATGTCAGGTGATAAAGAGGAAGATCCAGAAGCACTCCCGCCTGCATGCTCCAAGCTCCTCAGACGTCCAGTCCTAAAACGTTTCAAGAGCGGGTCGCCATCCTCCTTCTCTCCCTCCCTCTCTATCTCCTTCCCTTAGCATGTCTCCCCCTACTCTCACGCATACAATGCTTCCCTCGGGGCGCCATCAACATCACATCATCACCACCATCACCATCATCATCATCTAAATATCCTCCATCTGTGTGAGCGCCTCCAAGGTGTCCGGGTGCATGTTACGCACGTGGGTCTTGAGATTGTACTTGTTACTGATTTTCTTGCCACAGAAGGGGCACAGCACCGGTATGTACACGAGCGGGCTCCGCATGGACATCGCCTTCCCTGTAACGATACAACACCGCGGTCAGTGCGGGGCCCCAACCTCTCGTGGGAGGCTCTCTCCTCTCCTTTCTCTCCCCATCTCCCACTCAATTTGTTCTCTCTCTCTCTCTCTCTCTCTCGCTCTCTCTCTCTCTCTCGCTCTCTCTCTCTCTCTCTCTCTCTCTCACTCGTTCTTCTGCCCTCTCGTTTTCTAACCCCAGCCACCGTAGTACCATTACAGTGCAAAAACAAAAGAACACTTCTCTACAAACCCGAACACTACACCCACAGATACACCCCGCAACGTTGCAAGCATTCATTTCATACATCTACACTTCCCCGTGGTACCAGACTACAAAACGTACATAATTCTTTCATGGAACATCTTTTCATGCACATAAAAATATATCTATTTAAAAGCAAGACATCCAGTTTATACAAAGAAGGAGAAAGTAAAACAAAATGATGGATAATCAAGTTTTATTATCATGATAAAGACATAATAACTTTTGGCACATATGATACAAAAAACGGGCCCATTCTGACACTAGACACAACTTTAGCTATTCACCTCCTTGTTTTAGTATAGACAAGAGGAAGCAGTACAAAATAAAACGCATGAATATGCATATACAATGACAGACGTATATATAAACGATTGGCAAGTCCTTGAGCAACATTCTATAAACCCAACATAACTATGTGTGTATATATAGACGACTAGAGAAAACCAAGAACAGGTTCAGAGGGCCACGCGCCCTCAAGACTTGTAGGAGGGGAAGGGGTAAGGTGAGGGGTGTGGGGAGGGGGTGTATGCCTTTGGGAAGAGGCCCTGCCTAGAGCTTCGGCGGGCCGAGTGCAGAGGAGGTAGACGGAAGGGTGACCCCGTATTGACTATTGTGGGAGTGGGTGGGTTTATGGGCGAGGATGGGCGCATGGGATGATGTGGGGGGGTTGTGGGTGGAGGCGGAGGCAGAGTTGGTGTATCGGTGGTACTGACTAACGTGACTGAATAGTGTGTGTTTGTTTTTATACACTTTCTGGCAGTATTTGCACTGGTAGCCTGGAGACGCGGGGCCGTGCACGCAGGCCAAGTGCTGCTTGAGGCTGCGACGCCCTCCTAACACCTTGTCGCACTGCCCGCACCGCACCCACTCTGCAACAGAAGAGACAAGCGTCCTAGAGTGGACAGTACCCTCACCAGGCCCTGACGAGTTCCCCTAAACCTCTCACTGGGGTCTGTAACGCTCCCACGCCCTCCTTGTGATCCCCTTCACCGAAACTGCTGACAACACGTTCCAAGAACCTTCAATGCGTTTACGACTGAACACGCTCGTGCCCCTTGCTAGGATAAGACATGCTGCTCTAAATCCCGGACCCGAATCTCCGAACTCCCTGCAACCTTTACACATCTTTCGGGCACATCCGTGTCCTTCTTGAATTCGATATTCACTTTTTATCCTTCAACAGCAGAAGTACCTATACAAACATGTGAGCGTTAAGAGATGGAAATGGAGAAGTCAAAGAAAGGGGCGTAGAACTGGAAGGAACACCGGCAAGGAAAGACAAAGGAGATGGAAAGTAATCTATAGCACAGCGAGGGGAGTTGATCCTAGCGCGGATGACAAGGGAGAAAGGAAGAAAAGGGCCGAGGGACAAGAACAGGAGAGGGGAAGAATGGGGAGAAGCAGGAGGAAGAGACAAGATGGACAAAACGGGGAATGAAAAGCTGACAAAAGAAGCTATAGAAGAAGGAAAAGAGAGAGGACATGTTAGAAATGCTCCTCTAAATCCCCGCGATCTTACAAATCCTCGTAAGCAGGTAGATGGTACTTCTCCCTCCATCTCATTCCTCCCTTTTCCACCCTGTTATGACCCTGCGATGTACCTTAAATACCTTCTAATGCTGCTCGAATAACACACTGTGCAGACTGTTGACATCAATCAACTTGCAAATGCGGAGGATTGTATTAATCATGCTTGGCGCTCGATGAATAATACAGCTTCTGAAGTAAGCTCCCGATACAACGCAGAACCTATCCCGGCGTGAAAGAACCTTACGCAACGAGTGAGGGAAGTGTTCTACCTGTCGCATTTAAATCCCCTCCTCCCCACCATCAATGCAGCTTCCTTGAGGTCCCCCGAACGCTAAGCATTTGTCCTTACGTCTCATTTTCCAATAAATAACTTCAAATTTCCAACCTGACGTAATTCTTGGGTCTTCTAGCTTCGAGTAAGGGCGAGGGGAAGGATTAATCTAGCGAGGGGAAGGACGAGGGTCAGGAGAGGGCGAAATTAAAAAAGGCTGGACGGTTTTAAACTGTGAACGAAAAACAAATAAAACATTAAATCAAATTAAGATAATATTCGGGTGGAACTTAGGCTTATACAAGGATTACTGAGGGAACAGTCAGGTTGTCACCAGAGAATGAGGATGCCAGGGAAAGGCCAGGTAAGAGAGCCAGGTAAAGGCCAGGTACGGGTGAGATAAGAATATACAAGAAGCTTCTGCGATCTCGGCGTCCTCAGAGAGAGAGGAAAGGCGAGGCAATGCCCTTGGGAGGTCCCGCAGGCTCCGCTGTGCCTCCACCTCCCCCCTGGCGATCTCCTGCTATGTCCTGAGTGTGCGGGGGCGGCGGCGGCAGAGACGGCTGGGCGGCATTCGTGGGTCCTGAGGACACGGGGGCGGCGGCCGGCTGTAGGTGGTGGGGCTGGTGCGACCTCCGGAGCGGGCGGTGGTATATGCTCATGTGGTTCTGCAGCGTGTTGCGGGTCTTGTAGTGGCGGTGGCACAGCGAGCACTGGTGGGAGTGCGACGAGGGCGTGTGCACGTCCTCGATGTGGCGCCGCACCTTGTACTTGTCCCGCAGACTCTTGCCGCAGTACGGGCACACGCAGGCCTCGTCACCAGCCGCAACCGCACTAGCCAACCCGCTACTAGGGAGACGACCCCGGGCCCCTTCCCCCCGGGGAGGTGCTCTGGCGGGCGGCACCGCAGCGGAGATCGGCGAAGGGTGGGCGGTGGTGGTGGGTGGGTGGGAGCCTGGGGGTGTGGGGCCCCAGGGTATCGCCCCCCGCCGTGGTCCCCCGGCGGGAGTAGCGGCCCGGACTTCCTCTCCGGGGCCCACACGACCACGGCCTCCCGCACCCGCCTGCAAGGAGGAGCCACCGTCAGTACACCGCTGTCACCTATCACCTGCAAGGTAGCACCACCTCGCTTGTGACATCAGCCGCAGCTACCAAGCATGAAGTCTGGTGCGACCGGCTAGGAGACCCTTCGTCCGGACACCAGCCAGGCCCGCCAACAGCGCCGCCTGGGCCAAGAGAACCACCTGCCCAACACCAGTTGGAATCTCCGCTGCCTGAAGATACGTCTCCCCGACCTGTCAACCAGCTGTGGCAGCCCACCCTCACCCCTCCCCTCTCCCTAACTTCAGGTCGCAGAACCCCCGATCGCGCAGGCAGAGCGAAGGCAACATTTAAAGCTATAACTTTTTCTGGCGGTTGGACCCTTATACGTACCACGTTGATCAATAGAAGGTTGAAGTGCAATCGCTAAGCCCCCCCCCCCTCTCTCTCTCTCTCTCTCTCTCTCTCTCTCTCTCTCTCTCTCTCTCTCTCTCTCTCTCATTTTTCTCCCTTTTCTTTTTCTGCCCCTCTCCTTCCTCCTTCCTTCATCCCTCCCTCCTCCTTCTGTCTGTCTCTCGCCCCCCCCCCCGTCTGTCCGTTTCTCTCATCCTTTTACTCCTCCTCGCTCCTCTCCCGACTTCTTCCCTTCCTCTCCCTTTCTCTTTTTCCCGCTCGTTCCTTTACCTTGTTTCAGCCAACAGAAAACCCTCCCGATTTCCTCTCCCGACCTCATACGTACATGCAAAAATTGATAAAGAAAAAAAAAAATAATAATAAACATTGACATTTACCATATCAATATCAACCCGCTATCAACGGATTTTGTCAAGCACTCCCCTACCCACCCAAAATGAAGGAGAAATAAAGATAAACCTAGGAATAATAGGACGGTCAACTATCAAGTACAATGGCCCGCAGTGTGTTCTCTCAAGATCAATGAAGAAACGCTAATAATATATACCGGAAATACTAAGCTTCTGAGACATCTGAACGATTCATTCTTTCTCTCTCAACATTCCTCTCGTTTCTGCTATTTTACTACATGCGATGTTTGTGGATTCCCAGAATGCATAATGGTCATATAAATATGTTACATCAAAGATCATACAGCACTATGAACAAGTATTGTGACGAAAAGGTTAAAATTGAGTTAACGATCAGGACACAATATGTTAGATGTCAAAAGGTCGTAGATGTCAAAGAGCTGTAGGTTAGGATGGTAGCGAAAAGGGTAAAGAGGGAAGAGCAGAAGGAATACGAGGGCCGTTCAGGACTGACACAAAAAGCCAGTCTTCCATCCTTTCAGCATGGTGCTCACACTTCAGGATGTTGACAGAAGGGGATGAAGAAGAGAAGGGAAAGACCATATACAATTAGCTGAGGCAAACGCTGAGGTCCAAGGTAGCGGCGATCCCTACCTTGGGCCTCAGTCTACAGAGCAGCCCTCCTAACAACGTGTAAGGGAGTAGTAATAGGTATGTCCGTGTTTTAATGATTTTATCTCTCCTATTTTCACCGTCTCATTTCCTTTCCTTGTATTTACATTTTTTATAAAGTTTCCTTAGTTCTTTTTAGATAATTTTCTTTGTTTTTTTCACGTTTCTTTGCTTGTTTTTTCACGTTCTTTTCCTCTTCCTCATATAGTTTCCTTATTTGTATCTGTCTCTACTTTTTAAAGATGGCATTCATTCTAATGTAATTACTCTTTACCTTCATTGTTTAACATAGTAGAAGACATCAGTATAAATGTAACACAAATATCATATTGTAAGACAACGTGTAAGTAGCGTGTTGATACAAAATAGAGACATAATAAATAAATATCATAAAACAACGTGTAAGTAGCGTGTTGATACAAAATAGTGAATGAACCCTTTCCTTCTTATGCAAGGCCAGTATATGTACATGTCTGACGTTCAGCAAGGGAGAGTATGTGGGAAATGATGATGAGGAGAAGAGGCGGCGGATTAAGAGAAAAATGACAAAAGGAAGGTGAAAATGAAGAAAGAAATAGAAAAGAAGTGGGAAGATGGTCGGTGGCGCAGCTGTGGAACCCACGGAGCTCCACAGCTGACACTCACCCTGCCAGTATTTAACATTCTGCTGTATTACGGGTTCAGGTCACTCATTCATTACTCATCCGACTCGGCCTTTCTGTGTCTTGTTTGCTTACATTTCTGATAATTCATAAAACATGAGCTTGGATTAGTGGAATTGGTTTTTGGTCTCTTCGGATTCGGTTAATCATTGGAAAAAAGTGGTTTGTTTGTTTGTTTGTTTGTATTTTGGTACAATTCTATTCTGTACCTCTGGGCCCATTATACTTCCATTCTCGTAAGATGAACAGGACAAATAAACACCCTTGTCATATTTGTCAGTACTTTTATTATCACAAACTAAATACATATACAATACAAACATAAGTGCTTCTACTAATGAGGATGAGGGGGAGGGGCATAAAACGAGATCAGTTCTACTCCAGCAAGGCTAATTATCTGACTAAAAGTTGTTGTTGACCTACAAAACTAATCTACTCTTTTGTGACACAGGACAAGCTCCTCTGGCGGGCTTGTTATACTCACAAAAAATAGGAATCCATCGTTCATATAGTTGTTGTATTTGTAACTTTACCTCTTTACACTAGTAATAGGGGAAATCAGGAAAGGGGAGTAGAAAATTTGCATCTTCACATGTGTTTAGAAATGATTCACTTAATGAAGTAGCACAATATATGGCACCAGTTTTTTTTTCTTAAAAGAGTTTATTTACTTGTATTATCTAAGAACTACATCGTATACATGTACATGGTATAAACTTCCGTGCTTATCACATTTGTCTGAACTGTCACGAAGCATCGGCAGACACGCTACGGCCGTCGTTCCCTCAGCCGGACGTACACCGGCATCTGACACTCAGGGCGCCGAGGAAGGAGCAGAGGGGAGGAGGGGGAGGGAGGGGGAGGGGAAGGAGGAGCCCTCAGGACCTCCTCCCGCGGCGTTACACATTTTGGGAGCTGGAGAAGGTCCCCAGGGCCGCGACAGTCATGGGGCTCGCCTCTCCGGTGCCATGATGCCCTTGGCTGGGGTGCGCCGAGCCGGGGGTCCGAGAGGTTTGGGCGCGGAGGGTTGGGGTGGGGCATGATTGTGGGGAGACGTGGTGAGCGCCGTCACGCCCTGCGAGGCCGTTGGGGACTTTAGATGATGCGCCTGCATCCCCGATAGCGAGGCGGCGGCTGCAGGCGGGGGGTCGTGAGCGGTGCCGAGGCGCGGGGTTGTGGGAAGCCCGGATATTGATAACGTTCCTGAGGGATCATGTGTGTTCTGGCGGGGCGGAGAGGGGCCGCCGCCACGACCTCCTGCCAGTAGCTGAGGGTACGCCCCGTCGCAGCTTCCCTGGTGCTGCTGCAGCTTTACGGGCGGAGACGACGGGTACAGCCAGCCATCCTGGCCACCGCCCGCGCCGCCGCCACTCCCGCCGCTATAGCCGTGCACCTTCCCGAGGGCTGCGGGCTTCATGGCGTCGACTGACACAGCTGCCACGCCCATGGCCTGAAGGGCAGCACTGAAGGTAGAGGTAGAGTTGGGGTCCGCGCGGGCGTACGGGCGGGTGTGAAAGCGGTTCTCCCCGTGCGCCTGAATCATGTGTCTTTTGGCCGAGTACTTATTGAAGAACCGGCGTTTACATATCGGACACTCTACTGGCGTGTACAGAATGCTGGGCCTCCCTGCAACAGGAGAGAAAAGCGTTGTTACAATCCAGTCTCGCGGGGCTTCCCCTCTCCCGCCCCTCGGGAGGGAGGGGGCATGTTAGTGCTCCACACATGTTGTTGTCAAAGAAACATGTCACTGCACTCAAGCATCATACATTCATGTCTTAAGGTAACGAGAAGGTTTTCTTGAGCCGTGTCACGCGCTCCGTCTCAGTTGAAGATGTCACTGAACGATGTGGCTTTGTCCCCCGGCAGATGGTGCTCTGGAGGCGGCGGTGGCGCCCCGTTGCTCAGTCCTGGGGTGCGGGGGCTCAAGTGCGTGTGGTGGCGCGGCGGCTGCGGCGGCCGCCAGCAACGACGACAACTGCTGCGGCACCGCGACGGGAGTCATGGAGGCGGTGGAGAAGGGCGGGGCGCTGGAAGCTTCATACTCCGAGGGTCCGGAGGAGTCGGTCCGCTGGCGACGATGGTAGCGGCTACTGTGGTTCTGCAGGCTGTTGGGAGTGCGGTAGAACCTGTGACAGATCTTGCACTCGTAAGGTGTGAGGTGGACAGTGTGCATGTCCTCGAGGTGTTTGCGCAGACTTGTACCCTTCAACATTTTGTGGCAATGTGGACACTCTAAGCGACCGTCGTTCTCTGCAACAGAGAAGGAATTGGTCATGTGGCGAGGGTTGAGGCTGGTCTACTGGCATGCCACTACAAGGCTCAGGCTACTAGGCTGCGGGGAGCAAGGCGACACTACCTTTGCTACGAGACAACTCACCCTCAGCTCTTCCCTTCTCTTTTGTGGTACACATACATATGATTTTGTAGACTATTGGGCGTGCGGTATTCTTTGTTGCAGACGTAGCAGCGGTAAGAGGTGAGGTGCACTGTGTGACGGTCATTTATGTGCCTTCTGAGTCCATGACTGGTACTCAGCACCTTGGCGCACACAGGACACTCGAACCTGGCACGCCCTCCCGCTATGGGCGGCGCCCCCAGCCCGTCCCCAAACAGCCGGTACATTTCTGCAACAAACAACACATCCCGTGAGTACGGCAAGCTCCCCTCACTACGTCTCCAGCCTCTGCTAGTGTGCTACCGTCGTGAGTCAAGACTATACAAGAGGGTATGGAAGGCAGACAGTATGTCCGTGTGCGGGGCACCGATCATGTGGAGCGCGGTTCGATGCCCGGGCGGGGGAGCGCGCCGCCGCCGTTGCTGCCCTTGTGGTACAGACTCATGTGGTTGCTTAGGGAGTTCTGGTTGCGGTAACACTTGTGGCAGATACTGCAGGTGACCTGAGTGTTGGCGGTGTGCTGGTCGCGGATGTGCGTCTTCAGTCCTGAGTGTGAGCGGAGGAGTTTGTGGCAATAGGGGCAGGCTACAGTGCCCTGAGAGGGTCCTAAGCCCAAGTGGGGGCCCCCGCCGCCGCCCCCGCCCATGAGGTAGGTCGGCGGGGAGGTGGCAGTGGCAGGGCCAAGCACGCTGGTGGTCCTGTGGCCTCCCAGCACGCTCCTCGGGCCACCACCCGCCGCTGCCGCCCCGCAGTGTGGCCTGCCACCCCCAGGCAAGGCTGGGGTGTCCTCGGGTTGCCCACCCTGGGGGAGGGCGTGACTCACGGCGCCCGCAGACACCCCACCTGCAACACGAGACCCCACGTTACCCTCTCGCCTTAAACCTGCCACTGCACGGGCCAGGGCAGCACCACGTGGTGGCACCACTGCTGCTTAGACATCACCCCACACATAGTACTTGACACTGTCGCCTGGACATCACAGAGAACACTTGGCACTGTCACAAAGACACCACTCCCACATCCGGTGCTTGGCACTGTTAGTACACAGCGTCCCCTTCATACATCAGCTGGCACTATCGCTAACATACTCCCCAACATATAAAACACGGTCCTACCCACCGAAATGGTACTGTTTACATAGCACACAACACAAAAGACGTTACATCTACACGCGCACACACCTACACCCAAGCCTGGCCATCAAAATCTCCTAGTTGTGACACGTTTCGCTATTTCTGCTTTGTACTCTCGTATTCAAACTGCCCCGATGTGTGTGTGGTGTAGTGTGGCATAGTTTGGTATGGTATGGTGAAGTGTGGCATAGTCTGGTATGGTATGGTGTAGTGGTATGTATGCTATGCCATAGTTGGCCAGTATGCATAGTTGCAGTATGCATAGTATGTGGATGGTGTATGGCGTATGGTATAGTGTGTATGGTATGGTATGGGAAGTGTGGCATAGTTTGGTATGGTATGGTAATGGCATAGTATGGTATGGTATGGTGTAAGTTTGGTGACATTTGGTATGGTTGGTGTGGTAGTATGGAATGTAAGTGTGGCATAGTGGCTAGGTATGGTAATGTATGTGTAGTGTGGCATAGTTGGTATGGTATGGTATGAAGTGTGGATAGTTTGTATGTAGGTGTAGTGTATAGTAGGTGGTGAAGTCATAGTTGGTATGGTATGGTGAAGTTGGCATAGCATGGTGGGTATGTTGAAGTGGTATGTGTATGGTATGGCATAGTGTATGTTGTGGGTGTGGCATAGTTGGTATGGTATGGTGTAGTGCAGTATGTATGGGTGAAGTGTGGCATAGTTGGTATGTATGGTGTAGTGGCAGTTTGGTATGGTATGGTGAAGTGTGGCATAGTTTGGTATGGTAATGTATAGTGGTATGATGTGTTGGCATAGTTTGGTATGGTATGTGTTGATGATGGTATGTGTGGCATAGTTTGGTATGTGTGTGCAAGTATTTCGTATGTAGTGTAACAGTGTATATGGTGTAGTAGTGATATAGTCTAGTATGGAGGTAGTGTGGCATAGTCTGGTATGGCAGTGTGTATAGTGTATGATGTTGTGCATAGTCTGGTATGCCGTGGTCTAGTGTGGTACAACCTGGCATGGTGTAGAGTGTAGTGTGGTATAATATGATATAGTGTGAAGTGTGGGTTAGTATGATATGATGTGGTGTAATGTCATATGGTATGATGTGAAGTAGGGCACAGTATGGTTTGTAACGTAGCATAACATGGTATGTTGTGGCATAGCCTGAATGTGTGTATGGGAGTGTATAGTCCAGCATACTCGTAGTCTGGTATGTGTGGTGTGGTGTGGTGTGATGTAGTGTGACATGGTATGGTGTGTAGCGTAGCACAGTATGGCATGGTGAGGTGCAGTGTCGCGTAGTGTAGCATGGCATTGAATAGTATTTTGTAGTGTATCGTGGCATCGTGTGGCATAGTACAGTCTGCCGTGACATTTGGTTGTTTACCGGTGAGCGCGTCCCTACGCCTTTTAAAGATTCCCAACGATCAATAGTCTGCAGAAGGTACTGAAACCGATCTCTTTGACGGGAGAGCCTAATGCATCCGTGTCACACAAAATAAATAAAACGGGAAAACCGAAAAAAAAAGACTGATGAGTTGCAAGAAAGAAAGATAACAAATACAGATAAGTTTTTTTTTCCAAAAACATAAAAAAACAAGGACGGTTGCTAAGCCAGAATTACTTGGCGTCCACGGGCATTACAGGCTATTCGTTAACGCTGACAGCCTCGCGTGCCAAGCCCTGACGCCCCGTGAAGTGCGAGAAGACACTAGCAAACACGTCCCTCCCCGCGCATACTCGCACATAGACGACGCGTGCGGTTGCATAAAAAAGACTAGATAAAAAAAAAAGAAAAAAAGAAAAAGGTAAAAACAAACAAACAACCTACAAGGCGGCAAAAGGTGAAGGTGAACCTAACGAAGAGAAGAGACAAATGTCAGGGTACAAATACACAAGAGCGTGACCTTTTCTAAGATAATAATAATACACGTGGAGTGACGTGTTACACCGCCGGCGTCACCCGTCACTCCATCGCTGTATATCGCTGCTGATAACACAGCGGTGACGCTTGCAGGCGGCTGTGCAAGAGCTGTGTCCCATTTCTTATGAAGAGTAATTCAGGCTACGGCGGCATGCGCGTTTTGATAAGCGCGATGCCTTCAATTCAGCAGAACGATTTTTATGTTTATTGGTGAACGCTTTTGCTCCAACGAGTTCTGGTTCACCCGGAGCTTTGCTGACATTTGCGAGAGTAAAGTAATGAAAAAAGTGTGTTGATATTCACAATTACAATAAAAGCATCTTGATGGTAAAAACGTGACTTTTTCTGCATTTGCAAAATGTTAATATGTTACTATTCTATACTTTAATAATATTAATAATAATAAACAATAATAATAATTAAACTAATAATAATAATAATAATAATAATAATAATAATAATAATAATAAAAGGTTTTTATTACGTGAAATTGAGGTAAATGAAATCCCAGTTCTGTGCAACAACGTTGCCGTCTGGATACTCCCGTCTCCCTCGGTGCCATCAGTATGCTTCTCTCAGCATCCCTACTTCTACTTGCAACAGTATACTTTGACATTCAACATCAATCAAGACAATGTAATATTTCGGTAAACGAAGACCTGCTCTGTCGAAGCAGCGAAAAGGGAATAGGCCTCAACCTTCTTAAAGTAAGGTCTATTCCTTACATACCAATTACTAAACTATTTAAATAAAAACGCTTAGTCTATAGAAAAGTTCATCTCTTCATAATGAAGGAAAACTCATATCTCACACTCGAACGAATTTCATGAAAGGGTTGGAAATGCGACAGGGTTCAGAAACAATTGTTTTATTAATGAAACTTCTTACTTTATAAGGAACAATTTCATTTGTATCAACGTCCAAGATACTAAATATCTAATAGAAGTAGATCCACCTTCTAGTAGTGGAGCTAGTGTTAGTACAGAGGGTTTGAACAGCTTTGTGTACCACGTGTTTACCTCTGGCGTCGCCGATGTGGCTTGTTGCAGCGTGTGAACAAAAAGCGGGGTCGAATTTACGCCTAAGTGTGTGTGGGTGTAAACTTTTTACTTGTTCAGCACAGGCGCTATGAGATGACACCTTTGATTATATGTACGACGTGTAACCGTTCAATATCCAGTCTTTATAGGGAAAATAAATCTAATAATATTGATAAAGGAACAACAATAAACCTATCAAGGTACGCTGGAATAGAGTTGCACTGACACGAGCGTGTGTTTCAGATCAGCAGACAGGGCAAGACAGCATAATGAACAAAATATCAGAAAAAAAACGTGATGAATAACTTTATATGTTAGGTGTGAAGTTGATGGGCAATCATGGGGGTCATTTTTCTGACCGGTGTCTAGAAACTTGGTGATTATTATTTTTGTAAACTTATTTATCTTTTTTTTATTCGACCGCAATAGACACCTTTCATTTGTTGAGAATATCGTCATTTTGATCTTGGTCTGTCATCTGAGAGCAACCGGGAAATAATAAAAAAGGTATTTCCTTATGTTTTTACTTTTTTGTTACGAATTTTATATTTTCGTATGGGAGTCAACTTGAACAGACACAGGTCAATTGCGGGAGAGTTGAAGGTATATACACATGCTGCTCGGAGTTAATGTCTTATCAACTGGGCGTACTCTTTATCTAAGATTACTGCTAGAATCACAGATAACCATTTGTGTATGTGAACGTGTCGCGCAAGAGGTCAGTTCTGATTAATGTACCTGTATTATTATCTGGTATCCCCAGCTGGGAAGTTGGTCTCAATCTCACCCTCACTCTTACTCTCACTCTCACTCTCACACTCACTCACTCTCGAATACTGATATTACACAGAAAACTTGAGTCCGGTGCAAAAGGTTAACTAACTAGACCTGAGGCGCCCCCTGATGACGTCACGAGGACTCTCACCTCTATGTAAAGGTTATCTGTCTGACAGATTTCGGTTCCACGAAATGGTTGACTTTACAGTTTTACCTCACTTAAGAGAAACAAACAACTACAGAAATCGCGTTAGGCTATTCGCACACCAACAATGCACATGTACGTAGGTACAACCTTTTGGTGAACTACTGACATAACAATAAGGGTCCGTTGAGGTTAACCTCGATGAAGAGGCAGAACATTAGCTGATCCTCCAGAATGGAGGCCCCGAGACCCTTCCAATCGCGAAGGGCGACGCCATCCATCACTCAAGATCGGATCGTCGCCACTGAGCAGTAATGTTCCAACTCACTAGGACAGATAATGTTGTGCGTCATTATATTTACATCAACCCCACGCGTCCTCAGAGGAATAATTCTTCTCGTGTCAAAAAAAAAAAAAAAAAAAAAAAAAAAAAAAAAAAAAAAAAAAACAATTATTTACAGGTTATTTACAAGGATATAACGAGGAGATTTAGGTAGTGCAATACTGAGACGTTTGCTGAACTTTGCTGACAAAACTACGTTATCCCTTGCTGCGACTTGGACATTGTTACTATGAAGTGGGGGGGGGGAGGGTAACTATCCCATCCTCTTCCTCAATCCCTCTTTACCTCTTCTTTCATAAGGTGTCGCAAGGGCGCCCTAACCCCCCCCCCCCTTTCGCTCTTACGAAACGACACTGAGTCACGGAAGCCTTGTATTTCAGGTGAGGAGCGGCTGCGAGTGGCTTCGGTGAGCCTAGGCGGACCTAGGTGGGCGGGCCTGGGGAGATGATCTGCTGGGGCGGCGGGGTGGCGGCCGGGGAGATCGCCGGAGACACTCCCGAGGGCAGGCTGATGCTGGGGTAGGTGTGCGCCGTCAGCCTGGGAGGTATGTGCGGCGGCAGCGGCTGCGGGGGCGCTCTCTGCCCTAGCGAGGCCGCCGCAATGGGACGGCCCTGCACGTGCGAGGAGACGACGCCCCTGGACATGGAGGCACCGACGCCGCCCGCCGCTGCCACAGCCTGGGAGACCTTGGCGGAGCCGTCGGGGACCTGGCCACGGTGGTAGACGCTGCGGTGGTTCCTGAGGCTGTTGTTGGAGCCGTAATACTTGTGGCAGAACTCACACTGCCAGGGAGTGACCTCCGCTCGGCCTCCTCCCGTCCCCCCACCGCCTCCCGCCCGCCCATACTCGCCGCGCACGCCACCACCACCACCACCATAGTCGGGCCCCATGTACCGCACCACCACGCCGGCCCCTGCAAGTGACCAGACACACCTCAGTACCCCAGCACAGCATGACCCACCTCCACCTGGCCGAACATGCACCACAACAGTAAAATGCTTACCAGTCACCTTTTCCACCTACTCCTCCTCATCACCATAATAATCATCGCCTTCAGAAAATTTACAGTTATTTGCCTTAAAATAAATTTGGTATATACAGAGACAGTTAAGTTTTCCAATTTATTGTTGAGGTAGGACTAGAGCTACACTAGGATCGTTACAAAGCATCTACGTGTTACACACAAAGTTAGCAGAGCTTGCTAAGCCGACTAGTATCCTAATGCGTTAGACACGCATGCATCATCATTTAGCTTCTCTTATTAAAAAGTAAAACAAAAACTAATATTGGACTTAGATTTACATTTCTATCTTATTATACAAAATAATTCTGCATAAAAGTATATGAAAGAAATATTTTGTTACATTTGCCTTGTGCAAGGCAAGTCTGTGGAAACATTTGAACATAAATCTGAGGTTCAATGGTTCAGTATGTTTAGTTGCGCCTTCAAGACACACCAATAGGAATATGCTTTTGGCAGAGAAGCGTTACAACATGGCACTTGTCGCCCACGTGGGCCTGACAGGACAACATGAGCGGCGGCGGCGGCGGCGGATGCGGCGGCGGATGCGGCGGCGGCAACGACGGCGGGGCAGCGGCACCAGCTGGGGGAAGAGTGGTGGGAGGGAGGGGAGGGGGGCCGGGCCACACCTATCACGTGTTCTCCTTGTCCCGCTCCAGTATCCGCTGAAACCCCCGAGCGTTCCAGGACTGTTCGCGGTGGTATACGCTCTTGTGCTTCTTGAGGGAGTTCCAAGTGGAGTACTTCTTGAGGCAGAAGGGGCACTGGAGGGCGTGGGCGTGGGCTTGCGGGCGCGGGCGGGAGTGAGGCGGAGGTGGGCGGGCAACTCAGTGCGTGGCACCACAGCCCGGCACAGCGGACAGGCCACCGCTTCCGAGCCCGCCTCACCTGCAAACAGAAAACAGCCTCGTCAGCCCACCTGTGCCTACCCACCTGCCCGCCCTCGCAGCCGCCCGCGCCGTCCCTCATCACCTGCCCCTTCTCCTTCATCACCACCACCACCATCACCATCCTCGAGTGCCATCGGTGCTTACGCCCCAGAACCCGCACGCGCCCACCGCCATCACGGCCGCCCGCCGCCCGCCTCACCTCCCCGCCCCCGCCACGCAACACCGCTCTCACAGGGGCCCCTGGTGGGGCGACGGCGGGAGGGTGGGAACCTGGGGGGACTGTTGCTGGCGATGCTTGATGCTCATGTGCACACGGTACGAGTTCTGAGACGCGTACACCTTGTTGCACAGGGAACAGGTGAAGGTGCGGCGCACTTCCGTGTGCACGTCCCGCATGTGCACCTGCAGGGCATACTTGGAGGAAAGAGATTTGCCGCACACGTCACATTGGCGCCGCCCGTACCAGCCACCTGCAACAAAGTGGGGCGTGAGCGCCGTGCAGCTCCTGGCCTCGCCGTACCTCGTACCGCACGAGACCACAAATATCATTATGACCATCATCAAGCAAGGTCATCATCACCGGTGTTAGTGAGGCCGCTACACACGGTTCGACCTCCACACACTTATATCTAAGGTCATCACAACTCTTGGTTCTGTACACCATCCCTACAGCGTCTTTTTACAGTGAAAAATTATAAAAAATAATAACACTAATGACAATAACTGTAATAATAATAGTAATAGTGTCCATTGTCATTTAACACAACAGCACGCATGGGCTCCATGTGAACGTAAATAAAACCAGCATCATGTTCGCACTAATTTATTAGCAATACTGCGCTATAATACACGACTAGCTCTATTAGTACTGTGGAAGCGCTACTATATTTTCACAATTTGGCAGACGAGGATGCGGGGTGATACCCGGGTGTGTGGTAGGTGGTACTGCCTTCCCTGGCGTTGGTAGGGCGGGTGTCATCCCCTGGCACCGCAGAGTCGGCACAGGGGAAGTAGCACTATCCTATCAAAATCCAGTGAAGGAAAGGTGGTGCTAGTTTCTACCGACCCAGACAGGATAGTGCCACCTTGTCTGAAACTGCATGATACGTGAAATCTGATGGCACTTTCCCTTCCCTGCCAACAGCCGCAGGGCCGCATTCCCCTCCACCCGGGTATCGCCTCACTCATCCTCAGTATAGGTCGGTTCAACGTCACCGCCATCAGCCCCTTCTTACGGTTTCGCGCATGCTGGACCAGCGCCCGTCAAGGCAGGAACGTACACGCGGCGGCCGCCCACCTGACACCACAAGGGCGATAGCAGGTGGGGGGCCGCC